TGGAGCACCTTCTGCTTACCTCGGAGTTCTTGAGAAGATCCAGAGACGGATATGTAATCTAATTGGCCCCGATCTAGCATCTTGTCTGCAGTCACTCTCTCACAGACGCGCCATCGCCTCTCTCTGTCTTTTCTACAAATACTTCCATGGTAACTGCTCTGATGAGCTGCTCTCTCTGGTTCCCAGACTCCATGAATTCAAGCGCCCTACGAGGCTGGCATCCCGCTCTCACCCTTACACCATAGAAACCTTCAAATGTAGCCGTCTCTTCTACTCCAATAGCTTCATACCTTGCACCTCTCGCCAGTGGAACACCCTCCCCAATTACTGTTTCCCTGAAAGCTATAATCTCCAACTATTCAAATGTAATGTCAATCGACATCTCCAATTACCTTGATCTACCCACTATCCTTCTCCTCTTCCTTTCTCCTATCACTCTCACTCCAAATCTTCCGCAACCCCCTGCATCCTAGTGGCTTCACGCCTTGCTTGGGGCACAATGCTTAAAAAAAAAAAAAAATATCATCTGCAATACATTCTTTAATTATAGGTTATACAAATATCTGTGATATGAAGAAGTGTGTTTGGTGTGTATTTATTGTAAGTTGATTATTTATTAATATTCCTTCGAGGTATTTGCTATGTAGTAGTTTGCATTCTTTCTTTTAATAAGGTAACATTTAAAAATTATAGCCTGTTTTGTTTCTATAGAATACTAAAGAATTTAATTGTTTATACTAATAGAGGTCACTTCTGTGTTCATAAATGCAGATCATCAATTTCTAGATCACATCTATATTTTTTGCATGCAGGCAGTTTATTTTATACATCCCAGCTTGTGACTTATAGTTGATGATTCTATATATTTTGCAGACCAATACTAGTGGTTATAATTAAGAATTAAAACACAGACATGATAAAGTATACTCAAGATGTTTATACAACCAATGAAAGCAAAAAATGTAGAATTTAATCTTTAGCACTCTGTAGGTGACTATTTTTGCCAAGCAAAATGTTAGTCCTGCCAATGCAAGTTGAATTTGAATTTCTTGTTTGTGTAGTCATATCCTTCTACAGCAACACCAAACAATCTTGACTGAAATTGAGAGTCAGATTACTACAATATATATAGAACTAATATATAAAACACTATATTTTGAGGAGATTCCATATTGAGTAAAAGCGAAAGATTTATTTAAAAATGATATAGAATGCTAAATGTTAAAAACTGATACATGTAAGCACAAAAACCAAATGATTTACACCTGATGTCTACACAGCCAATGAAAATAATGAAGAATTTAAACATGAAGATCTAACTCTGCATTCCTTCCAAAGGTTTCTGATGAAACCAAATAAATAGCAAAGCAGATTAAATTTATAAATATATTTTTTACTTTATCCTTATTCTATCATCATATGTTATATAAACAAATCAACAGTCCACATATAATAATATATGAAGTAGTTTTATCAATACATATTTGCTGGACTATAATTACTTGTGTCAGTAATTTGTTAAAATATTTATACATTTCAAGACTCACATGTAAAAAATCTAATAACAAAAAAGATTTAAATATGCCACCAATTTTGATGACATAGATAAATTAGTAACTAATGAGTAACATGATAATTGACCGATTACACAGTGACTATAACATAATAGTTAATAAATGCTAAACAATTTTTAAGTTCTAAAAGTCTTTACTGTTTTATAGTCCCCATAAACTGTATGTCTTACACTGTAATCCTCTACCTTGAGTAGCTTTTGGGTCTTGTACAGAGTGAACATAATTGTATAAAAAAAAAAAGCCTAAGTTTTTCTACAATTTTCTCGAAAGCCAGGAATAAAGTAATACACCTTACCCAAAAGCAATTTAGCTGAAGAATTCACCTTATTAGTGCATGTTACATACTGGGATATTTCCATAAATACAAGAATGTGTTCTTCTTTCATTAGAATCTTTTTTTTTATGTGAGTTTAATAGCAATACTAGAATTGATAAGCAATGATTTTATTATGTTGTGATATCTCATTTTTTGCATGTTTTTTTTTTTCAGACCAGACACAAAGTTGTATACTTTCTTACACCTTCACCAGTATATAAGTAAAATATTTTTATTAAAAATATTTCAAGTAAAAAAATGTTTTTTTCTTAATAAAAATATGCTTATTATTTATATGTCTGTTTTTTATTAAAAATTATTTTAAGTAAAAAAATTTTTTTAATAAAAATACTCTTATTTATATGTTTGTCTTTTATTAAAGATCAATTTTAAATAAAAAACATGGCTGAGTGCATAGCATAGCAGGCATCAGCCTAGAAAGTGAGATCAGTGAACAAGGTTCAAATTTTGGCCAAAGCTGTTTTGTTTACTTTTGCACAAATACACTTGCAAAAGACATGAATTCACATTTTTTCCTACCCCCTACATATTAAATAGCAGGGTAGACTTGAGTCTATAGCCTTGGCTGGTAACCAATCTAAGAGTATGAAAACTCTAAATTTTAAAAACCATGAAAAAAGCAAGAAGAAACCACTCCACTATCTTTCCTAATAATTCATAGTAATTCACAAATAATAAAGAAATCTGGAGAGCTAGGATTGCTTTCATCCTGAAGGGACATAGCATTTTTTTTTTAAGTGAAAAATAAGGTTGAATATAAAATAATTAAAATTAAATTTCTTTCACCAAATCAACTCTCAGAAGAATCTCCTTACAGTGATTTCTGTGACAGAAATTCATTCCCCATTTTGACAAAATCTACATATCAATGCCACTTCAGCATGTGATCTACAAGGCAAATATGATCAGAGAAAGTGCATTACCTTAATATTTATAATATAAAAATAAAAGAATAAATGAAAAAGAAATGAAGAAGTAGTCTTTATTTATTATACAGAGTGCAATGGGTAAATTGTAGCAACTTTATATTTTTAATTTCATGCATGTGTGTCGTTTGTTTTAGATTTTGTTGACTGCACAATATAGTAGGATCAGTTGGGCACCGTCTGTGAAAAAAAGAGCACCCTGACACAATTCACTCCACCAGAAATTTAGAAACAGCATGCTGTACTGCTTGGCATTTATGCCGGAAACTCCACTATGAATATTTCAGAGTGTTTGTGTGTCAATCTGAGGACAGTGCAGAGGATTTGGAAAGAGTTGGATGAGTATAATGGTGATTGCGAACAGCAACTCGGAAAACTCTCTCTGATTGTCCTGGTTGAAGCCAATGGCAATTTTATTGAATAAATTTACTCTTTAGTATTTCAAGACATTTTTGTGTAATTTTGGTTAATATATCTGTTAAAATGAGCCGTCAGTGTTATTTTCATTTTTGTGTAATTTAGACGACAATTTATCCATCGCAACCTGTATCTAGGTATCTCCACAGAAATGCACTACCTAAGGTTTTAAATGAGTTTTTAAAAATGAAAAATCTTTCTTGAAGCTTTCATTTTGGTTTTAATTTCAAGTTAATAGATTAAATTTAATATTTGCAATAAGCAAAATACTTTTCTGTATTTCAAAACTAATTTAAATTGACTGGACAGAGATTTTGTTTTGAAATCACTAAAATCACTGATTTTAGTGCAATTTTTAACCATCTGTCATCACAATATAATTTCCTTTATTAGAAAATCTTTCAAAAATAAAATGTACTTTTCTGAAACTTTATTTCAGAAATATTTCTAAAATAATTTCATAGATTTGTGAATAAGTCCTGAAAGTTTCATTAAAATCTGACAATTATTTGATTTTTGCAAGAATTTCCAAATCAGTATGTTTTCTATACTAATCTTTGATCCCCTGCTGATACAAGAAAAACAAGATTTTCAACCAAAATTTTTAACATTCTAAAAAGGATAAAAAAAAAAAGCACAATTTAATCAAAAAATCCATTAGTCTTTCCTCTTAACAATAACAAAAATTTTGACTATAAAAGTGTTTCTATTAAGTCTGAGGCATTTTTTCCTCATGGTATGCTCATTTTTTAATAAATCTGTGAGGGGTACTTAATTATATATATATATATATATATATTCTTGTCTGTACACAACTTGAATATCATTATGAAATGCAACAAATAAATTCTTGATCACATAATACCATGCATTGTAAATGCAGTCAGGTCATATTTATTACAAATCCATCATAAAATTTTTATACCACCTATTCGTAAATGATTTCCAGTCATATGTATCTTAAGTTTTTTGATGCCGTTTTCATTATTATTTTTAAAGTGTAGATCACACACTTCAGTAGAACTGTGCCTGTAGATCCTATACTTAAATGTAGATCACACGCTGATATGGCCATCTACATAACTTAAATTATATCACTTCTTACTACCATACTTTTCTCATGTATAAATGCAACATAATGTTGAAAAGTTCTTAGCTTGATAGACTTCTCAAAATCTGACCAAACATCAGAATTTGGGGGAGGGGGTGCTTCTAAGTCAGAACTTTTCCGCAAACCCATCATATATTGGGTTGGTGCATAATTATCAAGCGTTTTTGTAGGCGAGTTATTTGTTAATAAAAATTGCTGTTTTGTTTACTTTTTTTTTAATGAAAATGTATGTCAATAATCATACTCTCCAGAATAATCATTTAAAAATGTTATTGCTGAATTATGTTTCTTTTTTCATAATAAATATTGTTGAAAAACGCCTGATAATTATGCACCAATGCAACATAATTGTTTATTTATGATTGCCTCTCCTGAATTTTTCAAAATGATGATTCAGTAAATTGTAGAGAGGAGACAATATGGTAGCTGAAAAAAATTCTATTTATTATTGCTAATGCTCTATTTAACTATAATCAAAAAGATTACATGAGCTATAAATGTTATCTTCTACAATTTTCCTGGTCAACCATTTTTTTGGTGGGGAGGGCAAAATATAGTCTTTATTATTGTTGCATATATGTACAGATGCACACTGCATTTCTTACCTGTAAATATATTTAATTAGAAGTACATACCTGGAAGAAATCCTTTGAATGCATCATTTTCTGCAACTAAGACCTTTCCAACTCCCTTCACTTTCAATGCACTCTCCACAGCCTGTAACCAAACATTTGATCACATTTTATTCTTTATTTAAAATAGCAGACGGCATAAAAGATGGGCAAAAAAAATACTTCCTATAAATAAACTTTTCATATCAATTTAGTTGTAATAAAACATTTCCCTCAATCAGTGATATTTACAAACAGACAAAAGAATTAGGACATTAAACATGACGCTTGAGCAACTATAAAATAAATTGCAACTCATTCTTTTAGAACACGTTAATTAGAGCTGACTTCAAAAGCCACATTGATAGTGTTAATAGTAGCCACAGGAACAATTAGTTTCTACTTTTTAACTGCCAAGAAAAATAGGAGTTCATTTTTAATGAAGGTAATATGTTTTTTCAAGTGCAAAATGTGGGAATGACCACCACCCAGTGATGTAGAAACTTAAGTTAGAATTATGGAAATTAAAGAAATCCAAAGCAACAGAATACAAAATGACTCAGTCTGCAAACAAATATGTGGTGACAGACGTAAGAGCAAATATAAGAGACTAAGAAAGACCAGGAAGTTAGTGGAATACCATAAGAGAAGCTCTAATGACATCAGCAAACAAGATTATCCAAAAGTTAAACAGAAACAAGAAAAAAAAAAAAAGAAGTGGATGAGAGATGAAATTCTCGAGCTGATAAAAAAGAAACAACAAATGTCAATGAATGGTAGGATGCTAAAGAAAAACATTAGAAAAAAAATGCAAGCAAACGAAAGGTAGATGGCTCACCAAGAAATATTGAAGAGCTAGAAAAATTAAGGAAGATAGATATAGCAGGCATGTATAAAATAATACAAGAAATAACAGAAGACATACTCCTTAAGGGGATATACAAAATCTAAAAAGGGAAATGCTTATAATAAAGATGGAAAAGATAATTTAAAAATGAAATTAATACATTGGAGAACTCTTCTACAAGAAAAAAAAAAACACAAACATGGATAAACCTGAAATACTAAAATCTAAGGTATGATTGGCATTGGCCAAGATGAACAGGAACAAATCAGCAGGAATAGATAGGATTGTAACAGAGAAGTTGTCAGCCTGAGATGATTTTGGAAATGACATGGACACAAAAAGGAAACTTATACTTAACATCAGGAAGAGACAGTTGAGGTTTCTGAGGCATATAATGAGGCAGGAAAGCTTGGAGAATCTGATACTCACAAAACAGATTGGGAGCAAGACAGACAGAGGAAAACACCACATAACATACTTAGTGAGCTTGAGTAAATGAATGGTGAGACAGGATTTAGGAGAAAAAACAGAAAGACAAAATAACAATACAAGAAACAGCCAAAGGTGTGAGTTACAAATTGGTATCAAACAGGTACAGAAATTTAACTATCTGGATATTATAGTAACAGATTCTGGAAAATATGATGCAGAAATCAGCGAGTACATTAGAATAAAGCATTTCCAGATAAGAAAATTATTAAGACATAAGAAAATCTATGAGAAAAAATATTAGAATAACATTTACGACGACTAAATGAGGATAGCATGAGGATAGAAAAAAAGAGAGAAAATAGAAGATACGCAAAAATAGAAAGAGGAATAAGACAAGAATGTGTTTTCCTTATCTTATTCAATCTATGACGAGAGAGGTTTTGCTTAAAGGCACAAATTTCACATAGCCTGATCAATTAGTTCTCTGTAGCTTGGTAAAAACATGATAGGTTTAATGGCAGCTCCCTCTGCCCAGGGAGATGCAGGTTTGAATCCTACTGGATTTTTAATAAGATTTCTCAAATATTCAGGCCAGTAGATGAAAATAATTAAACATACTGTTTAATAAATAAATGAAGTATCTACTCAAATACAAGTATCCACTAAAAATAATGTTTAAAGTAATAAAAAATCCTTTGGATTAATAAAAACTCCATTTACTTTCTTTAGAAAAACATTTTTCTGTAACTCACATGACCTTTTCGTCATCATTATAATGATAATGCATTCCATGGACAACCAAATATCACTATTTCTATGGAAAGTTTTCAGACAAACTACATTACTCAGATCCATTCATTCTAACAATCACAGCCAAGACCCACCATGTCACGCAAATTGTAGCAAACCACCTTCATTCCCTTCGTGTTCTACTGATGTCCCACTCAGTCTCTTCCTACAAATCAGTACTTTGCAGAATCACTTCCCAAGAGGATGCAACCGCAATCACTACAATCTTAATTTGTTTCACTCTAGAGTTAACCATTACCTTCCCCACATATCCTCATAAGCCTCTTACCTCTTACTCTGTAACTCTCTAGTTCAAGTGGCTCTTGAGCCTTGTACAGAGTGAATATTATTCTTTAAAAAAGCATTTATGGAGGTAACTTGACAACGAGTCTCATCTTACAAAGCTGCTATTACAAAAACTTGCTGCTTATATAGTCAGTGCCATACACGATACACACTTGGGTGATCATGTCTCTTTTGATTTATGTCTGATTAGGCAAAAGATTTTCCTGCAGTAGGTTGTCATGTTTTTCTGCAATAAACAAGTTGACAACTAAGGCTATAGGACCCAATCTGTCCTCCTATTCAACCTACAGCTGGGGGGGGAGGGAAGAAGAGATAGATTCATACTTTTCCCATGGATTTCATGTGTAAGTGAATGTAACAAACTTCACTAATATTAGAACTCGGTTCTCTAATTTCTCATTCTGAGCCATTATCCCTTACACCACAATGCACATCCACTTATACAGTAACACTGTCATAAAGCAGTAAAAATAGATAAATATTCTTTATACTATTTTTCATAAATTAAATGCAAGATTTTATTTTTTAATCAGAATAGCAACTCATAATGTGGGTTTTGTGATATAACACTGATTATTTGTGCAATGAGAAAACATTACACATGATTTAAGCTGAATGTTGAATTTCTTCAATGTTGAATTCTTGTCATGCTTCAGTTATTGTTGAATATTGCTTAGAGATACCCCACTTTTAATTTTTTTTCCTAGAACAAATTCTCTAACATGGCTGTAGTTAGCTTTGTCAAAAACCAGAAATTGTTCATATTCAAAGATGCTTGAGAAGTCATTCAAATCAGCCACAAATTAATGCTCAATGTTTCTTATCTGGTGTGCCATCAGAACTTGGCACCAGATCCTTTGTTTTTTATTCATGCTATTGACTTCAAAAGTTTTTCTGTAGCAAAAACTTTTGAAGTATCATCTTGATAAACTGAGAAAATAGCATGAAACTATGCAGCCTATTTCTTCCTTGTTAATTTCTGAGATTAAAAACATCTGAAACCAAATTTATCAACTTTCTAAAAAATAATTATTTTAAAAGTAATATCTGAATTCACATAACTGGTACTGCTGCTTTTTACTAACAAACATTAAAAAATATAGTGGATTGGCCAAAAAGGTAATTTTATTTTTTTAGTTAGATGGTATTAGGAGTATTTAGTTTTACTTTAAAAAAAAAAAAAGAAAGGTAACTTTTTGACTGTATTATGATAGCTGTCATATCAGCATGCAGTTATTTTTAATAACTTTTTTTTTTATTATTAATTTTGTTGATTGATTCTAACAGACAAATAAGCAACATATTCTGCATATATTACACTTTTTATTTTAAGAAAGGTAAAAATTTACTTTGTGCAGTTTATGGAAAATATATTGTGAATGATCAAATACCACAAAAGTATTTTGTAAAATTTTATGATTAGGATTTCTTGCTAAACAATGTTCTTAATTTGGATAAAGTAGCTGAGGTTGGTTAGAATCAAGGGGGTATAATATTGTACAAAAGATTCCCAACATATTCAAAATGTCTAACTCACAAGTTGAAAATCACAGTTTAGTTATGTAAATCACTTTGATGTGATATCCACATCAGTGAAAAGATTACTTAATGACTCATTTTATAAAGAAATTGTAGCAAACAAGTGGCTGTTTTACAATAATAATGAATGCAAGAAATCATAGAGCAAACGAATTGTGCCATTACTAACCACATGAAAAAGTCAGTTGTCAACCAATGATGCTGTAGGATTGAAAGAGAGCCCTCTACCATGAGTGCCTTACAGAAACAAATAATTTTATTGTTCCTAATTTGACCAAGTGAAGGCAGCAAAAAGGGTTAGAAATTAGTTAAGAAGGGGCATAGTATTCCAGTATGATAATGTTAGGCCACATGTTTCATGTTTCTTTGGTGACCAAGCAAAAATTGTTACAATTTCCAACATATTCAGCAGACACAGCACTTTCAAATTGCCACATATTTTGGTCTTTAGTGAACTGTTTAAATTTAAACAATAAATTTCATGGAAGACTGCAAAAGACACAAAAAGCAGTTTTTTGCTCAAAAATATCAAATGTTTTAGGAGGATTAAATTATGAAGCTGCCTGAAAATGGCAGAAGGTAGTGAAACAAATACTAAATGTGTTGTCCAATGAAGTTAATTATGAAAATAAAAATGCCTTATTTTTACTTAATAAACAGAACAAACTTTTTGATCAGACATATAATAAGAATATTTCTAAATAGAGATTACAATGGTTAAAATCAGCTATTATTGAATAAAAACACAGAGACATTTAAATTCTAAGATTTCCTGAATATTACCCAATAACAAGATTATTGTGCATCATCTTTATAACAAAAATCAAAAGACATCAATAATCCAATCATCCATAATCTGATTCAACTGCTCATCCAGATATATAACACTACTGTTTTGAGGACAACAGTATTAGCTAATGGCACTTGATAACAGACAAGCTATTCTTCACATGAATCACAACCAAGATGCCAATCCTTGCAACTTTCACTTTCTGTTTATAACACCACTTTGTCATAAATTCTAACTCTACTTCAGAAGTAAATTATTTATAAAGATTAAGACATACTATTTCATCCAAAATTTGACATATTCTGACTTATTTGTCTTAACTGCAAATATTCTGAATTAGCACAGAGTTGAGAACAAATAACAATCCAACACCTTTGTAGACATGAGACTAAAGTTTCAGAAA